ATAAAAAAAAAAAAGAGAAAGTGAGCTGAGACAAAAGGAGAAGAATGAGGAGGATTTGAGAGTGAAAATGTGCTGAGAGGCCATCTAGCACCATCAACACAGATGTTCTTTCGGTTTTCTTACCAGGGAGGCATCTGACATGTTTGAAGTTGTCCAGACAAGGAGCAGTCACTGTCAGTCAGTGTAACCCTCTGGTTAAGAATATCGGTTTTGAAGCCAGGCCTCCATTTGGGTTATTAGCCCACTCACTGATTGTGTGACATTGGGGATAAGTCATTTTTCCTCTCTGAGTCCCGTTTTTTTTTGTTTGTTTGTTTTGGTTTTTTTTTATCCATAAATGAGAATAGAAAGAGTGCTCTGGGCTGGAAGTGGTGGCTCACGCCTGTACTCCCAGCACTTTGGGAGGCCTAGGTGGTTGGATCACTTGAGGTCGGGAGTTCGAGACCAGTCTGACCAATGTGGCAAAACCCCATCTACACTAAAAGTACAAAAATTAGCAGGATGTGGTCGCACTTTTCTGAAATCCCAGCTACTCAAGAGGCTGAGGCAGGAGAATTGACTGGACCTGGGAGACAGAGGTTACAGTGAGCCGAAATCATATCATTGCACTCCAGTCTGGGTGACAGAATGAGACTCTAGCAAGACTCCAACTCAAAACAAACAAAAGACAAAAACAAAAGAAAGAAAGAGTGCTCTCTCTTAGAATTGTAAGTTGGGTATAAAAGTAAAATTATTGGGCCAGGCGCAGTGGCTCATGCCTGTAATCTCAGCACTTTGGGAGGCAGAGGCAGGCAGATCACCTGAGGTCGGAGTTTGACACCAGCCTAACCAACATGGAGAAACTTCTTTCTGCTAAAAATACAAAATTACCCAGGCATGGTGGGGCATGCCTGTAATCCCAGTTACTTGGGAGGTGAGGCAGAAGAATCACTTGAACCCAGGAGGTGGAGGTTGCACTGAGCTGAGATCGTGCCGTTGCACTCCAGCCTGGTCAACAAGAGTAAAAGTCTGTCTCAAAAAAAAAAAAAAAAGAAAGAAAGAAATTAAAGTTATTTAGCATAATGTCTTGTACATAGTTAATGTGTGATACTTATTATTATGTTAAAAAGTAACCACATTTTCACATTTTGCATTTTAGAAAGATGTTTTAAATGTATTTCACATTTGCATGATTATACATTATTCCTTATTACGTGTTGAAGTCTTTGTCACTGCCGTTGTCATTTGCTTTTTCTTTTTTCTTTTCTTTTTCTTTTCTTTTCTTTTCTTTTCTTTTCTTTTCTTTTTTCTTTTTTTTTTCTTTTTTTGAGACGGAGTTTCGCTCTTGTTACCCAGGCTGGAGTGCAATGGCGCGATCTCGGCTCACCGCAACCTCCGCCTCCTGGGCTCAGGCAATTCTCCTGCCTCAGCCTCCTGAGTAGCTGGGATTACAGGCACGCGCCACCATGCCCAGCTAATTTTTTGTATTTTTAGTAGAGACGGGGTTTCACCATGTTGACCAGGATGGTCTCGATCTCTTGACCTCGTGATCCACCCGCCTCGGCCTCCCAAAGTGCTAGGATTACAGGCTTGAGCCACCGCGCCCGGCCGTCATTCGCTTTTTCTTATTCAGTTTTTCTTACAACACTTTTTCTTAGTTTTTTTTCTGTTCATTTGGAATGTACTCTTTCACATCTTTTACATTTCTTTTACTAATCTTTAAGTAGTTGTTCTTGGAATTATACATGTAATCTTCACTCATCAAAGACTAATATTGACTGGCATTTTTATGTTCTTCCCGATCAATAAAAAATCAATAAAGCATGCCTTTACTCTGTTGACTCCCTCCTCAGTTTATATGCTATTATATTAATGTACTTATTTTTATTTTATCACCCATGCTGTAGTGCAGTGGCACAATCTCAGCTCACTGCAGCCTCTGCCTCCTAGGTTCAAGTGATCCTCCCACCTCAACCTCCTGAGTAGCTGGGACTACAGCTGTGCACCACCAGCTGGGTGTGGTGGTGGGCACCGCTAATCCCAGCTACTCAGAGGCTGATGCATGAGAATTGCTTGAACTCCAGAGACGGAGGTTGCAGTGAGCTGAGATCACGCCACTGCACTCTGGACTGGGCAATACAGATAGATTCAGTCTCAAAAAAAAAAAAAAAAAAAAAAAAAAGCCCTTGTTTGGGCTGGGTGCAGTAGCCCATGCCTGTAATCCTAGCACTTTGGGAGTCCGAGGCAGGTGCATCACTTGAGGTCAGAAGTTTGAGATCCAGCCTGGCCAACATGGTGAAACCCCATCTCTTAAAAAAAAATACAAAAGTTAGCCAGGCATGGTGGCACACAGCAGATTTATGCAGTTAGTATTCAATTCAATTTGCCTGCATATTTATGATTTTAATTATTTTTTATTTCTTCCTTTCCTACTGTACATTTCAGATATTTTTTCTTAAGCCTGATATTTTCAGTAAGTATGGGATTAGAGGTTCGTTGTTTTTCCTCTCAGCCACTCAAATATATTATTCCATTTTTTTCTACCTTTTATTGCCCTTCCCCCTCCCCCTACCCCCCCTCTCCCTCCCTCTCCCCCTCCCCCTTCCCCTCTCCTTCTGGTGCCATGACCCAGATCCGATATTGTTCTTTTTGCAAGTTCATCTGTTTGAAGGTAATATATGGCTTAAATCTGATGTCTTTACTCAGCAATGAAAAATTCTCAGCCATAGTTGCTTCAAATTTTGCTTTTTTTCCATCTTTTTTCCCTTCTCCTGGAATCCCAGTTACATTCATTATAGATCCATTTACAGCACCCTATACGTTTCTTTTGCTTTTTCCTGTGTTTTTATTCTTTTTTATCTTTTTGCTCCAATCTATGTAATTACCTTTCACATATCTTCCAGTTCATCTATTTTCCTCATGTGTGGCTAATCTGCTGTTAAAGGTCTCTATTAAAAGTTTTTTTATTTTGTTTGGTGACATTTTCAGTGCTATAATTTTAGTATGTTTTTTTTTTCTCAAATCTATTCTTCAACACTTACACTTTTCATTTTTCTTCCAGCATTCTCAGTACTGTCTTTTAGCTCTTAGAATACACTAACCATAGTTGTTTTAGCATGTGTCTGAATGTCCTATATGTATCTGTCTATATGTAATTTCAATGTCCTATATGTATGTCTCTCTCTCTCTTTTTTTTTTTTTACTATTTTTCATTTGTGTTGATTAGTTTTCTTTTATGTCAGATTGCTTTTTATAGGGTGTTTAACATTGTATCTTAAAACCTTTGCAGAATTAATTCAAAGTGTTTTTTCATTTGCCTCTGTTCTCACCACAGAGTCTGTTCACCCAATGGTGTGAATGGTATGAATTGCTGAGTATAATCACTTAACTGTTTTACTTCTACTAGGCCAAGTACAGTGAACTTATTAGCAAACAATCAGCCAAATGTATTTTCTACTTTTTTATAGAACTTGTTTGTCTTTTCTTTTGCTATTTTAAACATATGGCTAGAGGACTCTTTCTACAATCACAAGCGTGGGCCCAAGTTAACATTTTGATATGTTATTACTCTGTGGTTTTCTTGGTGGCATTTATTTAATCTAGCTGTCTATACCCCCAAAACACTTAGATGTCAAGGAAAAATTTTTTAAATAATGCTGATTAGAGTTCTCCCTGAGGTATAAACTAAGTAGTTAATGCTAGTCTTAGTCATCTCCAAAGCAAAGTTTTCTCAATCCTCCAACCTCAGGATCAAGAAGAGATAGATATTCAAGATGAAGAGCGCCGAGCCATAGCTTTTGCACTGAGGTGCAGTGATCCTCTTCGAGTTTGACTAATTAACACTGCTCCTTCAGGATTTTGAAGACCACGTTGAATAGGACAGTGCTTCCATTTACCAATGTTGATTATCATAACTGTCAAGCATTGCATTGCGATATAATTCTGCTTTCAGGATAAATTAAAATATACAGAGTTGTTTGCCCTTCCTTTAAATGACCTGATTTAAAAGCATCTATGATTCTTTTTTTAGTTCTTGATTCCTTTCAGCATTAATACTTCTGCTTGGTCTACTCACTAAGTATATTCAATAATAATTTCACTGAACTGTTGCTTGATTTGATAAAGAAACATCTAAGTAACAGGTTGAAGTATATTTAAAGAACTTTTTATAGAATATTCAATGATTGTTCTTCTTTGCCAGGATTTCTTTTAAGTTTATGCAACTAGTCTTATTTCTTGAAAAAAAATTGTTATTTTTCTGCCTTAATAATGAAGACTATTCATTGAACCACTTGAGATTAAAAACAATTTAGATTTAAACCTCTTTTTCCAATAACAGAAACACTGCAGAACTCTTTTCACCAATATCCTTACTAATTTATTTGAGTGCCATGTAGACAGTATTCCTTAACATTTGTTCTAATTACATCATTGTATTCTATTTTAACAGATTTCAGATCAGAACCACAGCTACCCAAGAAAACTCATCTTCCAATTGTGTATGGATTCACATGTCGATCGTTTATGACCAATTGTGTAGTGTGCCCTCATATAGTATTTGTGAGAAGAAGTTTTCAATGTAAGGGATAGGGTAGAGGAGGAGGAAGGAAATACGTGAGCTAGTAAGGAGGACAGAAAGCAGAACAGAAAAGAGTAACAGCTGAGGTCAAAATAAATGCAGAAAATGTTTAGAGAGCTTGGCAAACTGTAATCTTACCCAAGAAATTGGAGGGGGAAGCTGTGATTTCTGTATTTGTTGACCTACAGGTAGGCTAGTATTATTGTTCTAGTTAGTAGAGCTCTAGACATGGAGTCAGGGCAGTCAAGCTTGAATTTTTTTTTTTTTTTTCTTTTTTTGACAGAATCTCACTTTGTTACTCAGGCTGGAGTGCAATGGTGTGATCTTGACTCACTGCAGCCATCTTCTTACCTCAGCTGCCCCAGGTAGCTAGGACTACAGGTGCATGTTACCATGCCTGGCCAACTTTTGGTATTTTTTGTAGAGACTGGGTTTTGCCACGTTGACCAGGCTAGTCTCCGACCCTGGGGCTCAAGTGATTGCCTGACTTGGTCTTCCAAAGTGCCGGGATTATAGATGTAAGCCATCATGCTTCAAGTTTCATTTTGCCATTGACTTGATATTTACCTGGGATAAGCCATAAGACAATCTTAATTCCTGGCTCTATTGGAGTTGTTTTTATACTCAAATATGTCATTGAAGTGCATGGTGTGTTGTCACAATTTGTCCCTTAACTTCTAGCAGTATATCAGACATGGATTGAGGGTGAAATATATTTCTGAAGAGCTGAATGAAGAAATGGAAAAAAATCTTGACCAATCAGAGCAATTTTATTATTTTCATCAATATGATCATAATTATGATTATCATCAAAAAGCAGCAACTCCTACTTTTTCTTTATCAAATAACCCAGAAAGTATGCCTGCCGTATCTCTAATAGAATCTTGTATAATATCTGATTGTATGGAAACTGCTCTCAAAGTTTTCTGCTTTTTAAATACTATCAATCAAAAAATACACAAAATCTGTTGATTAATATAAAAAAGTAACCAATCTAATTGGAATAAGTATTAACATTTTGGAATATGAAACATGTTTTATTAGTTTCATGATGTACTATTTTATAATTTTTACCATTTTTTCAGTAATTACTGTAAAAAGGTATTATTGGAATGAAACTATATTTCCTCATGTGCTGATTTGTCTCTTTTCTTTTTTTTCATACTTTCCCACTGGTGCTATTTTTATTTCCAGTGGATATTTCTATATTACTCGGGAGGCATTTGCAGCCCTCTAATGTTGATTAATATGTGCAAAGAAATTGTACAAATTTCACTAAATTATTCACTTTAAAATGGCTGATTTTATGTTATGCGGATTTCATCTTAATAAAAAAAGAAAACTCTTATCAAAAAACCGCTGGCCTCTAAATTATGTGCCCATGTGTCACAAACACTGTCACAATTTGCCTTCTCCCCAAAAGATGAATTTGTTGTGGGTGGAGGGATATTTATAGTAGTTTGATATTAAAGCATTAATTAGAGATCTTAAAAATTTTTTTAATCTAAGAGAAGATGAAGATTTTTGTGAGGTTTACTACTGTTTAATATGCAAATTTGTATTGTCATTATTTAAAAATATATAGAAAGGGATGAGACAGGTGCAGCAAGCCACCATGGCACCTGTGTACCTGTGTAACAAACCTGCATGTTCTGCATGTATATCTCAGAACTTAAAATAAAAAAAATAGTTGTACTCTATAATAAACATAAGAAAAAAGAAAGGGAAGAACTAGTTCAGGCTGAGAACATAAGGAGTATAGTTAACCATTTTAAGTAGTTAAGACACAGGATGGAGCTTGGAAGAGATCCCTTGTATTTTAATTTTGGTTTTGGTTTGATTCATTCTTTCTGGGTCCCCAGGATATAGTGTATGAATCTAAGAAATTATGATAATCAAGGTAAATAACTGGATGCTGAAGATCCTGCTGTAATAATCTAGAGCAGACAGTCCAGGCAACCTAACCCATGACTTGAGTTTGACGAAAGTGATGGTGTAAAGTAAGATCTCTCTAGGTTGTGCAAGACATACAGTACCTGAACTGTTGAGACATGTTTATATTACAGCTTATATGGAAATATATGTGAATAAACAGAAAACAGTCACACTTTTCCAAGAGACAGGAAAGGTGAAATAACTGCTAGCCGAACCTCAGTCTGAAAGGTAAATTCGAGATGGGTAATGATCCTAACAGAGGACATGCCAAAGGGCCACCATGTTCACGTGTCTGGATTATAGCAATAATTTTTGAAGCAGTCTCTTAGCCTTCACCCTTGTCCTCTACAGTCTGTTTTCAAATAAATTGGAGTGAGTCCATTAAATTTAAATAAAGTCATGTCAGTTTTCTACTTAAAATTCTCATCAATTGCTCATGTATCTCCGAGTAAAAACAAAACAACACAAAAGTAAAATATCTTTGTAATTATCTATAAGATGTTACATATTCTGGCTCTCTTTGAGCTAACCTCCTACTTCCTTCATCTTTACTCATTGCACCCAGGATGCTGGGTTCTTTGTTGTTTCTCAGCCAGGTCACGCTTGCTTCCACCTCAATGTGTTGGTGATTCTTATCTCCTTTATCTGAATAATTTGTACCTGACAAATTTGCAGGGTCTGCTCTCTCACTTCTTTTCCATATCTGCACAAACATCACCTTCTTAATGATGCTTACTCAGATAATGCTATTTAAAGTTATCAACCCTTTTTTCTACATTCTTAATCTCCCTCACCTCTGTTTATTTACCATAACATTTATGATAGTCAAATATACTCTACTATTTACTTATTAAGTTGAATATACTCTACTATTTACTTATTAAGTCATTGCAGCTTTTACCATTACTTTCAATGTCAAAAACCACAATAACTTTTGCACCAGCCTGGTACTATCTTTCTTATATATCATCTGCCTTTCTCCATAGAATATAGTCTCCAAAAGAACACACAGCTTTGGTGTACATGGGTGTACCCAACAGTCTGTGAATAGTACTTGCCATATAGCCAATAGTCAAACATATTCTTGTTATTGTTGAAAAAATAAACTTTTAAGGAAAAGTATAAATGTTAATGTATGTTGTTTATCAAAAATTATTAGGAATATACTTGAATAACTGAAGTTTGTGAAATAGTTCTTTTTTTTTTTTTTGAGACGGAGTTTTGCTCTTGTTACCCAGGCTGGAGTGCAATGGCGCGATCTCGGCTCACCGCAACCTCCGCCTCCTGGGTTCAGGCAATTCTCCTGCCTCAGCCTCCTGAGTAGCTGGGATTACAGGCAGGCATCACCATGCCCAGCTATTTTTTTTGTATTTTTAGTAGAGACGGGGTTTCGCCAGGTTGACCAGGATGGTCTCGATCTCTTGACCTCGTGATCCACCCACCTCGGCCTCCCAAAGTGCTGGGATTACAGGCTTGAGCCACCGCGCCCGGCCTTGAAATAGTTCTAATTGCTATTTTATGAGACTCATAATTACAGGTGCCTTTTTTCTGATCCAAGTGCCTTTTTTCTGATCCCAGCTGTGACAATTTTTAACACTCTATCTCTGTTTATTCACGTATGGGCTTTACACACCTTCATCTTCACAATTTTGACTACCTTCTCTTTTATACGGCTCTCTGATATTCAACCCAATGCAAACAAATAATTTTTGATTTCCTACTCTTACAAGGAACCATGCAAGAGGAAGATATTTTTATTTTTATTTATGTATCTTTTTTATTTTAATAGCTTTTGGAGTACAAAAGGTTTTTGGTTACATGGATGAATTATATAGCAGTGGATTCTGATTGTAATGCACCAGTCACCCACCTGAGTAGTGCGAATTGTACCCAATACATAGGTTTTAATCCCTCCACCTCCCTTTTCACCTCCCACTTCTGAGTCTCTTAAGTCCATTATATCACTCTGTATGCATTTGCCTACTTACAGCTTAGCTTCCACTTACAAGTCAGAACAAAAAGTTTTTGGTTTTTCATTCCTCCCTGAGTTACTTAGAATAATGGCCTCCAGCTCTACCCAAGGTGCTGTGAAAAACATTATTTCATTACTTTTTATGGCTGAGTGGTATTCCATGGTGTATATATGCCACATTTTCTTTTCCACTCATTGGTCAACGGGCACATAGGATGGTCCTATATCTTTGCTGCTGTGAATTGTGCTGCTATAATCATTTATGCGCATGTGTCTTTTTCACGTATAATGACTTATTATCCTTTGGGAAGATACCCAGTAGTGGGACTGCAAGATAGAATAGTTGACCTACTTTTAGTTCTTTGAGTAATCTTCATACTGTTTTCCATTGAGGTTGTACTAATTTACATTCCCACCAGCAGTGTGTAAGCATTTCCTTTTCACCACATCCATGCCAACATCTTTGTTTTTTGACTTTTAATAATGGCCATTATTGTAGGAGTAAGCTGGTATCTCATTGTGGTTTTCATTTGCATTTCTCTGACGATTAGTGATGTTGAGCATTGTTTCATATGTTTGCTGGATGTTCGTGTATCTTCTTTTGAGAAATGTCTTTGTATGTCCTTTGCTCACTTTTTGATGGGATTATTATTATTATTTTCTTGCTGATTTGTTTGAGGTCCTTGTAGATTCTGGATATTAGTCCTTTGTTGGATGCATGGTTTGCAAATATTTTGTCTCATTCTGTGGGTTGTGTGGTTACTCTGCTGATTATTTCTTTTGCTGTGCACAAGCTTTTTAGTTTCATGAGGTCTTATTTATTTATTTTTGTTTTTGTTGCATTTGCTTTTGGAGTATTGGTCACAAATTCTTTGCATAGGCTACTGTCCAGAAGAGCTTTTTCTCATGTGATCTTCTGTGATTTTTATACTTTCAGGTGTTAGATTTAACTCTTTGACCCATCTTGAGTTGATTTTTGTATAAGGTGAGAGATAGGTATCAAGTTTCATTCTTCTACATGTGGTTTGCCAGTCTTTCCAGCACCTTTTATTAAATAAGGTGTTATTTCCCCAGTTTATGTTTATGTATGCTTCACCAAAGATCAGTTGGCTCTTAAGTATTTGGCTTTATTTCTTTTTTATGGGGGGATTACATTTTTATTTCAAAAGCTTGGATAGCTTCAATATCCAGGTTGTGGCAAAATCAGGACACATGTAAAATACCTTACATTAGATTCCCAAAAGGTACCAAAAAGTCCAGTAAAATTAACACTTCCATTATAGGAAATGTATGACACAAATAATATGAAATTAAAAGGTGAAAAAATGTGACGCTGGCTTTCTAAGAAACAATTTGCTCTTTACAACCAGGGTCCACAGGTCCAGGCTGCAGAGCCTGGCATCAGGAAGCAGAGACTGCCATCTGGTTCTGGGGGACCTGGCAATAAGGCAAGAGAATCGCTTGAACCCGGGTGGTGGAGGTTGCAGTGAGCCGAGATGGCGCCATTGCACTCCAGCCTAGGCAACAAGAGCAAAACTCGGTTAAAAAAAAAAAAAAAAAAAATCAGCCCATAATGCGGCTCTGGTCTCTCAAACACCACCCTGAACAACTAGAGCTCTGGAAAGTGGTAAACAGGAGAGTGATTTCCATGGGGGAAATTTTAAATAAGATGCACATGGGACAGGCCACAGAAAGTTTGCCAAGTTAGATTTGGTACGTAGTTGTGTTCCCTCCATATCCAAACAAGGCGTGTGTGCGGCCAGCTGGTCTCTCCCGCCGCCGCCCTGGTGTGACCTGTACTGATGGCCGCCGTCTCCGGCTCTTGCCGTAGTTTGTAACACCCTGACCTCCACCTCCACCCCCACCTCTGCTGCCTCGGTTCCCTCGTGGAGGTTTCCAGGGCCCCCAGAGCCATACTGCCGCTGCTAATAAACTGCTTTGGGCTGGGCCACCTTGACCTCACGCTTGTTTCCACTGATAGTATGGAACTTTTCCTCCAGAACCCTCTTCACGGGTTCTTTTTTAAAAGGCGATAAACACAAAACCTCGTCTTTTGTTCAACTTTGGATCCACTGAAATTGCAATGGCCTCAATCTCCCCAAACTCGCCAAAGAACTCCCTGATCTTTTCCTCAGTAGCTTCAGGACTCAGACCCCCGATGATTTTCTTCACCGGGTCCTTCTTCATAGCCGTGGCCTTTCCGGGGTCAGTGACACGGTCATCCAGCCTGTGCTCCTGGTCTGGGACCTTCACACTGGCTGCACTGTCGAACAGGATAAACCCACACCCTCTTGATCGTCCAGTGTTGGGATCCATTTTTATTGCACGGTCAATGACCTCTCCAAATTTAGTAAAATAGTCTTTTAAATCTTTTTTCGCTGGTATCGCAGCTCAAGCCCCCAACGAGCTTTTCTCCCACGTGCTCCTGGTTCTTGCTCGCTCGCCCTCG